GGAATCGAACTCATGCGGAAGTGGTTTTAGCTTCTCAGTGCTGTGCTTTAACCCGCTGCGCCACCAGGGAGAGCCAAATTTAAGTTTTTTATATTGTGCTAAATTATGCTGGTTATTGACTAAATTAGGCCCTTAGTTTTGATAAATACCCTGTGGTTTACATAAGAGGCTGCAAGGAGAAGGGGATACAGGAATTCGTATCTATTTTTGCAACTGTTCTGTAAATCTAGAAATTTAAACAATGTTGGTTATAGAGATTACCAGATAACCAGTGTTTTAAGATTTTTTTCTTAATTTCAACACACATAATAGTAGCCAAGGAGTGTTCTGGACCAGCAGTATTAACATCAACTGGAAACTTGTTAAAAATGTAAATTCATTCCTCTCTGGTGTTGCAGTGTGTAAGGATGCAGTACTGCAAGCTAGCTGCAGCCACTTTAGTGCGAGTTCGATCCCTGGCCCAAGAGGTGATCCACACAGTGTGGCAGACCTCTCCTGACCTGCTCTGAGCAGTGCATTTCATCTGTCTGCCTGTTCTGCTCCTCACTGTCTCTGGTGAATCTTCTAACTGCCCCTGTACCTCTGGCTTGTACCTCAGTTTGGTATACATAAATAAATGAATCTTTAAAAAAAATTTTTTTTAAAAAGTAAATTCTTAGAAGCTCTGGGATGGGATCTAGAAATATGTGTTTCAATAGGCCAAGTGATTCTTATGCATGATAAAGTTTGAGGCTCTTAAGACTAAAATGAAATATTTTTATTTATGCTAGAACATTATTAATGGGTTGCTTACTCTTTAAGTATAACCTGTGTTTTTGTATTGTGATTAAATACATATAATGAACATTTGCCATCTTAACCATTAAAAAATGTACAGTTCGCTAAACATGGAGCTTCCCTACGACCCAGCAATCCCACTCCTAGGTATTTACCCAAAAGACACAAAAACACCAATTGAAAAAGATACTTGTACCCACATGTTTATTGCTGCTTTATTTACAATTGGAAAAACATGGAAGCAGCCCAAATGTCCAAAAGTAGATGACTGGATAAAAAAGATGTGGTACATATATACAATGGAATATTACTCAGCAACCAAAAAAAGAGAAACACATGTCTTTTGCAGCAACTTGGATGGAGCTGGAAAAGATCATGCTTAGTGAGATAAGCCAGAAAGAGAAAGAAAAATACCAGATGGTGTCACTCATAGCAGGAATATAATGGACCAGGCGAGAAAATAACAAAAATAATGAACAACCATATACCAGAGACATGTTGTGGAGGTGGAGTGGGGAATGGGATCAAAAACGTGGGGGGTGAAGGGAGGGAAATGCATGGGACTATGGTGGTGGCACACGGGTGATTTGGTGATGGGAAACCCACGGGGATTACAATCGAGATGGAAAAAAAAAATGTGCAAAATGATGTAAAAATAAACTTTTGTAATAAATAAAAAAAATAATAATAAAAATGTACAGTTCAGTGATATTAAATATATTCACATTATTATATAGTCATCATCTATTCATCCTGTAACTCTTTAATTTTGTTAAACTTAAATTCTATACCCATTAAACAAACTTAAACAACAAAAGGAGAAAAAGTGGATACATCATGTTACTAAATTTTAAACTGCATCATAAAGCAACAGTAATTAAAACAGTATGGTATTAGAATAAAAATAGAGATATGCATAATGGAGTAGAATCAAGAGCCAGAAATCAATGTGCATGTATATAAGCACTTAATCCATGATAAAGGAGTCATGACCAGATAATGGAGAAAAGAAGATCTCTAGTGGTGTTGGTCATACTGGACTGTAAAATAATGAAACTGGATCACTTTCTAACTCCATACACAAAAATGAAGACTTGGCTATAAGATGTAAAACCATAAACGGCTAGCAGACATTAAAAAAAAAAAAAGTTCATCACTCCTTATTAGGAAATTACAAATAAAAACTACAATGTCTCATTTCAAACCTGTGAGAGTGACATACACCAAAAAGACTACTAACAATAACTTGGCAAGAATATAAAGAAAGAGAAACCTTTATGTACTGTTGGCGGGAATATAAATAAATTGGTGTAGCCATTTTGCAAAGTTATATGGACTTGCCTCAAACCCTAAAAAAAAAATCTTCTTTGGGTATCCAAAGAAGTCAACTTGAAGAGCTATATGCACTATAATGTTTATTGCAGCATTATTTACAGTAGCTAAGATACAGAAGCAACTTAAGTGCCCACTGGTAGATGATTGGGCAAAGTCATGTATATAAGTAATATAGTTTGTCTTTAAGAAAAGATAATATTTATCATTTGTAATAAAATGGAACTCTAGGATAAATTGAAACAAAACTAGAAAGGTAAATATTGGATTACTTCACCTATATGGATAGTATATGGAAACTAAGCAGATAAATGGACAAAACCAAATGAAAACATTCTAGAGGACATTGGAAACCAAAATGAGATTGTTACTAAAGGTAGAGAATAGAGGATGGGAGTAGGGGTGGAGGGGGTATAGTTAATGGTGGTGTTTTGTTTTGTTTTTAATAGAGGGGGAAAAGTGAGGAAATAACACCTACTTTAAGAAGTATTGAGATTTAAATGACATAATCTGTGTAAAAGACATACCTCAATCATCGGTACTTAATAATTTCTATTTAATAAACCAACTTAAACCAGTATCTCCCCTTTCTCCCAGACCCTGACAACCACCATTCTACTTCCAATCTCCATGATTTTTAACTAAGTATTTCATGGAAGTAGAGTCATATAATATTTACCTTTTAGTGACTGACTTATTTCACTTAGCATAATATCCTCATCCATGTTACAGTATATGGAAGAATTTATTGCATTTAAAAAAATTAACACTTCCATTATGTGTATATGCTACATTTTGTTTATCCATTCATCCACCAGTGGACAAGCTGGATTGTTTCCACATTATTCACAATTTTAGCTGCTATAAATATTGCTGCTATGAACATGGATATACAAATATCTCATCAAGGATCTGCTTTCAGTTCTTATGGGTGGATACCTAAAAGTGGAATTGTTCGATCATATGGTAATTCTACTTTTAATTTTTTGAGGAACCACTACTATACTGTTTTCCATAGCAGCTGTACCATTGTACATTCTCACTAACAGTGCATTCTTACTAAGAGCTCCAATTTCTCCACATCTTTGCCACTTGTTTCCTTTTTTTTTTTTTCCCTGTTGTAACCATCTAGTGGGTATAAGTTGCTGTCTCAGTTTTGATTTGCATTTTTGCATCACTGATGATTGGGGATGTTGAGCATCTTTTCATGTATTTGTTGGCCATTTGTGTATCTTCTTGGGGAAGAATGTTCAGTCCATTACTCAGTCAGTCTCCATTTTCCATACACATACTGAAGCCACTGATATTCACATACCTGTGCATGGGCACATCAGCGGCTCTTGTGGGCTCACTTTCTTTGTTATCCCCCTGGGTCTACCTTAATATTCAGCTACTATAAATCTGAAATTTACATATAGGCACTATCTATGTGTAGATTTTGAGAAATAGTGCAAGATTTAAAATTATATATGACAGTATTTTAATATTTAAATCTATTTCCAAAAACTTCTCTTTACAGACTTATAACAGCTGTGCCAGGCTCTGCTTAAACCAAGAAACAGTATGTCTAGCAGGCACTGCGATGAAGACTGAAAATTGTGTGGCCAAAGTAAGTCATTTTCATCTTCAATAATACTGTATCATGTCATAACAATATTTTATCTATAGCTATCTTCACTCAATATTGATATTAAAAACTATTGTTATTGATTGTTTTAAAAAGAATGCAGCAGACATCATTTGTATACAAAGTAGACTAAGTTGTAGTATCCATCTCATTAACAACAGCAGAATTTTTAAGCTATCCTGATTGCACTCTAGATTACTTCTTACTATTTTACAGTAGCTATGAGTTATAAATAAGATTTGTGCAAGAAAATGCACTCTTTTTACATGTGTTCATAGTTTTAAAGTGTAATTAAGTATGGTGTATACTATTCAAAGATTGGAGAAATGTGCTCTATACGTTCAGTTATTCAGTTATTCACTATTCTTACTTATTGAAGGGCTAATAGAAATAATTGCTTTTGGTAATCTTGACCTGAGTGATACTTAATCTTACATATAAACTCTCTCATATATAAGTATGTATCATATCTATAGCTTCCATACAAAACAACCTTATATATTAGAGACCTAGACTTTTCATATCAACTATGGCTCAAATTTTCCAAGTTCTCTAATTATTTAGGAACTTTGACCTAAATTTAGATATTGGTCATTTTGATTACTCCAGGAGTAGGTGAAGTTCCAATATGAACTCTGTTTTTAAACTTATACTTTACATATTGAAAATCACTGCCTTTATGACTATTCAGGGATTTGTCCCTATTATAGCACTCCCAACTTTATTGTGTTGGGTTGTTGGAAAAGTCATGACCTTTTTTTTTCTATATTTTTTTAAGAAAAAAATGTGTCATAACTTTTCCAGCAGCCCAGTATTATACACTCAGGCTCTCAGTTACTTATTAGATCCAGGCCTGGTGTGTCATCTTCATCCTTTGCAAAAATTCAAAAGATAGCAATATGTTTTCTTATTTCAGCTTTATTACTTTAAAAGTGTTGTAGTCTTATATTGTAGTCACTGTACCTACTTTATCAATTGAAAATATATAAATATAACCATCAGAAAAAATTCGTATAAGAAATGCCAAAATTTGTTTAAAAAGATAGTTAATCAGTTGAATCTTTCAAATTAGAATGCCTTAATAATTTGCTACAAAATGTGGATACTATGAATTACACCTACATACTTTTTAGTTACAAGTTGCCAGTACTAATTTTTTTTAAATGACTTGTTTAGTTATACATACAAGAGCTGGGGTATGGGCAAGAGGTGGGGGGGGCGGAGTGGGAGGGGTGAGAAGATTGACCAGAGACAGTGGGGAGCAGAACAGGCAGATCTGCTGAAATACACTACTGAAGAGAGCAGCAGGCGAGACAGGAGAGGGCTGCTGTGCTGTGTGGGTCAGCTCCCTGACTGGGGATTGAGCTTATGCTGCAGTGGCTACAGATGGCTTTATAGTGCTGAGACTTAACCCTTTGTGCCATGAGCGAGATCCTACCAGTGCTAAATAAAGTCTGTTTTATATCTATCAGTTTGTCCATTGAGATGGAGTGGGGGGGCAGTGAAAGGAGTGGCAGTTGCACTTAATTTGGTTCTTTAAATGTAATATTGCTCCTTTTTGGCCACACTACTCTTTCATCACAAGTGGGTGACTTCTGGCTAAACAAGGTAAAATCTTAGCATGAGCACCGATCCAAGGACAGGGTGACGATTTTAATGAGCTTCTTTGAGTGCTGGCCAAGTGAGCATCTGTTCCTTTTGTTTTCTCCATACTTTGTAAGCCAGGATCTCTAAGCTACAGAGTTACATGTTGGTGTGTATTTGTGTGATACTTTATCCCCCTCCCACCCTCAACTTCAGTGGTGCATGGTTAGAAATCTTCTGGCATCTGGCACAGTGGCATAATTTCTTCTGTGCTCTTGGGTGAGGAATTAAGTGTGCTTACTGCTGCTTATTAGTCTGTTTCCTTTGCTCCCAAATGATGACCCTTTCATCCTGCGCTTGCTTGTTTTGACATTATTCTGACACCTGTATCCTTTCTTCATCTCCTTGAATACCCTAATTCAATAATGATTTCTATCTTTTCAAGTTGGAGCCGACCCAACTGCCTGGCTCCTTTATTAGCCTACATCCTCTCTTGTGGTTTATTGCTTCAGATTTGAGCCACATAATCAGTTGTTCAGTGACAGATAAAAACATATAGATAAAAAAAAAAGTTCTTTTTTGCCTTCAGTGAAGTACAGGAAATAGGGAAAGAACTTTTCCTGTTTTATTTACATGTGTTACATGTGTCTCTTCATCCTTTGCTGTTTTTGTTGGCTTCATTTTTGCTTGGCCTTTGAAAGGTCTGCAAGCTTGTCCCATTTCCTACTCTTCACCTTTGCCCTTAGCTGAATAGTTTCACTTGCTACACTTTATGACTGCAGTGGCTTTTTAACTAGATCGTGCTCCAGAGTGGTCTTGAATGGCCATCTTCTGGTGTGATCATTATGAAATAGTGACACCAACCACTTTTGTTCTCTAGCAACTAATACTAATAAGAGTGACTTTGATTTGAATGCAGATGCTGATTAGAGTCTAAAACCTTATTTTTGAATACTACTTATGTGAGTCTTAGAGAGGACATTAATACTAGTTAGTCCCTTAAAACAGCAATATTATTATGTTCAAATCTCTACAGTACATTGTATGTGATTCTACTTTGCCAGGATATCTTATAATAAGTGTTTTACAACAATACTATAAAAATGAGCCCATTCTTTAGAATAAAAAAGTTGTAGTAGAATCCATAGCTACCCTAGTTTTAATAATGACATTATGAATCCCTAACTTGAAGTATGGGGCCTAAGAAAATATTTAAATATAAAATGGAGCAGGATCATTTTATCAGTATAACTTAATCCAAGTGATATTTGAAGGCTTTGAAAAAATCTTATTTTCCTCAGAAGTCTTTTTACTAATTACAGTCCTGTAGTTCATGAGTTATACAATTGGAACACGATGCCCTCTGTATTTATTGTAGCTTTAAGCGGACAGTCATTATTGACTACCAACTTAGTCTTTAAAATCAATAATCACATTGTACCTAATTGTCATCCTTCACAGTGTTTTTAATTGGTAAAGAAAGCTAAGTGGAAAACTAAAGCGCATAAATTTTTCATGTTATCTTTTTATTGATTTTATTTAGACATTACTGAAAATTTTGGCTTTAATCTTTCCCCTTATTTACTGCCTCCCTGCCCCTCCATTCCCCACACACAAACACTCATACTCATGAACACATACAATTAAAATTGAGTTGTTCAAACACTTTTACCTAGGTTCTTGCCCAGGTAGAAGTTCTTCCTCTTTATCTTTTGAAAACAGTTCCCTTCAGTTATCCTTTGTAGAGGCTCTATATTGTAGTAGTTGCTGTTGTTTTTTACTTGAGACCAATAATCTGTTTGCAACTGACTGAGACAGAAAAATGTGATGTTCCTTTCTACTCACTCCAGATTTTGATAGAAGACTTGTTTTATTTATTTCCAAAATTATATCCGCAGGAAACAAGCTGTTTAAATTCAGATTATGCTGAAGCAAAATGGTCCTGGTATGAGAAGCAACGTGCTGTTTTACGAGCACAGAGTCCCTTTTCTCATAACTGATTGATAGTAAATATTTTCCTGAAGAATTATTGCCAACCATGAACAGTGCAACTGTTTCACTTTTTTTCTGTGCTACTTGCTGTACCAGCCATTGTCGGTAATTAAGATCTACAATTCACAATGCAGACGTTTGCACTTCCTCTGGGTCTGCGCTATTTATAAGGCATTTCAGCTGTTCAGAGTTTCTTTTGAGTTTTAAACTACATGTTAACAGGCTTCTTTAATACACTGTTCCACAAGTAGCATGTCAGATGGTCCATTCTTTTGTAAAGACTCCTCCAGCCAATCCAAATGTTAGCTTTGTAGGGAATATATTAAGATTTAACCATGTCATTGAGGCCAACATGGTTAGAAAACTCTGGAGTATAACATGTTATGCATTAGGCTTATTGCTGTTTCAAAAAGGAAGGAATAAAGTTCAGAAGTAATATTTTTTCTTTCATCTTTAACTTCATGTGAATTTAGTGAGTGTTAATGGGGTTACAGGAAGGTTCTGAAAAACATTAGTAAAGTAACTTTTTCAAGCTCATTTTGATGTAAGAATAGAGTCAAAAAACTTCATTATATATAAGAATTGGTGTGATTGTCAGATTAAGGGTGCTGAGAATCCATAATCTTCTATACATGCATGATATTTAAGAAAACATACATGGCACACCAAAATGGTTCAGCGGATTGACTGCATGTTTTTGTGTGAACAGTTTTAGGAACCCCAAGTAGGATATGCCATTATAGAGGAAAATATAGACAGGAATCTTGGTCTGCATTAAAATAGCTAAAAGTCAGATTCATTTTGAACTATTTTAAGAGTTAATTTTGTAAAAAGAAAGGACGATAGTGAGAATCTTCATGAGTTATGCCCTGGAGTTGGAGTAACTGCTTGTAGTCTCCTTGCTACCTGATCTCATTGTTAAACACATAAGAAAAAGAAATAAGAAACTGAAAACTGTCAACAAAATATGTTTAAAACTACTCCCTGTATGGGAATCAAACTAGTTCTTTTTAAACCTCTTTTGAAGTCAACAGCATTGACCCTGTGTATTCCCCACTAGCCTCTTCCAGCAGAGCAGATCTGCACATGAAGGCAGGGCAGGGTTGCAGTGCTCATTTCTTGATGGCCCTTTGAACACTGAGCTTTTTTTTTTTTTTTTTAAGATTTATTTATTTGTGCATACAGAACTGGGGTACAGGCCAGAGGCTCAGGGGCGGTGAGAGGCTTCACCAGAGACAGAGTGGAGAGCAGAACAGGCAGATCTACGAAGTACACTGCTGAGGGGAGCAGTGGGCAGGCCAGGAGAGGTCTGGCTCGCCATGTGGTCTCCTCCGGGCAGGCGGCAGGCGGGAATCGAACTCATGCGGAAGTGGCTTCAGATTCTCAGTGCTGTGCTTTAACCCGCT